CCTTGGGAGGCCAAGGCAGGTGGATGACCTGAGGTCAGGAGTTCAAGACTAACTTGGCCAACATGGTGAAACCCTGTCTCTACTAAAAATACAAAAAAAAAAAAAAATTAGCCAGGTATGGTGGTACATACCTGTAATCCCAGCTACTTGGGAGTCTGAGGCGAGAGAATCACTTGAACACAGGAGGCAGAGGTTGCAGTGAGCCGAGATTGCACCATTGCACTCCAGCCTCGGCAACAAGAGCAAAACTCTGTCTCCAAAAAAAAAAAAAAAAAAAAAGAGACAGGGTCTTGCTCTGCAGCCTTGAACTCCTGGCCTCAAGCTTCAGCCTTCAGACTAGCTGGGACTACAGGTATGCATCACCACACCCAGATAATTTTTTTTTTTGAGACAGAGTCTCACTCTGTCACTCAGGCTGGAGTGTAATGGCGTGATCTTTGCTCACTGCAACCTCCGTCTCCTGGGTTCATGTAATTCTCCTGCCTCAGCCTCCCAAGTAGCTGGGATTACAGGCGCCCACCACCATGCTTGGCTAATTTTTGTATTTTTAGTAAAGATGGGGTTTCACCATGTTGGCCAGGCTGGCCTTGAACTCGTAACATCAGGTGATCCACCCACCTCGGCCTCCCAAAGTGCTGCACACCCAGCTAATTTAAAAAAAATTTTTTTATAGACAGGATCTTGCTGTGTTGTCCAGGCTGGTCTTGAACCCATGACCTAAAGAAATCCCTCTGCCTTGGCCTCCCAAAGCACTGGGATTATAGGAGTGAGCCACAGTACATCATCCAGCATTACTTTTTAAGAGAAAAAGTAGGAGAGAGATGGATTTCAACACAAACCCCAAACATTAAAGATATAAATATAATACAACATCCAATGTCAACATTATCTTCTTTCCCTGACCTGTCTTGTCTCCAACCCCAGCACACACAAGATCTTTCTCTGTGCCCAACCTTTGTCTTCACCGTTCTCCGCTACCATTTTACCTGATTGTCAAAGCACATCTCGACTGAGAACTGAATTTTGTCAGCTACAACACCTCCACTGGGGAAAATGGCATAGATCACCAGGGAAGGGTCAGGGGCCAGTCTCGAAGTGAAGGTCAGTGAGAGAGAGAAGGAGCCTTTCAGTCCTGAAAGAGAAGAGGGAATATACAGGGAAATTAGAATGCACGTCCAACCTATCAATGGCATCTAATCGTATGCACTTTTCATTGAGCCAGTGCAGGTGGCACGGTGCAAATTACTTCTCATTTTTCTCTTTTCCTGTGATGACTGTTAATGCTCCAATTCCATTGCTTCTGTGTATAAGAATTGTTTTCTGGAATTTATTTATTTATTTATTTATTTTTGAGACGGAGTCTCGCTCTGTCGCCCGGGCTGGAGGGCAGTGGCCAGATCTCAGTGGGTTCACGCCGTTCTCCTGCCTCAGCCTCCTGAGTAGCTGGGACTACAGGCGCCCGCCACCGCACCCAGCTAGTTTTTTGTATTTTTTAGTAGAGACGGGGTTTCACCGTGTTAGCCAGGATGGTCTCGATCTCCTGACCTCGTGATCCGCCCGCCTCGGCCTCCCAAAGTGCTGGGATTACAGGCGTGAGCCACCGCGCCCGGCCCTGTTTTCTGGAATTTAAAAATATCCTGTTCACTTCCAGGAAAGGCACGTACACTCACCGTTCTTCTTAGAGTTCAGGTGCTTCTGCCCCTCCATCACCAAACTTCCTTTCCCTATTAACTAAAGAAGAAAAGAGAAGAATCAACCACACACAGAAGTTATGGTAAGTTCCCCTTGGACCAACTTCCAGAGCATCTCTGCATCCTTTCATGAGGAGAGGCTCCTTTGGCTGTTCAGAGCCCGGGTCAATTCCACACCCAGCATCCACTAGCTTGACAAATGCAGGGTGCTGCCAGCGGGTCCTGGTGGCTCCTGCTGCAGTCCGAGGTCTGGCTGAGAACCACGCAGGTGGATGGGAGGAGTCTGACAGCATAGAAATTGTTCCACACCATAGATAGCTGTCTGCCATTTCTTGAAGATCTCCAAATTTTATTTTCTTATAATCCTTGTAACATAAAGTCAGCGAAAATCTATCCTCATAAGTGTTTTTTAATTACAGCTCAATTTAAAATTCAGTGGAAATAATTTCATCCTAAACTACCCTGAGCCCTTCTGACATTGAACCCTCTAGAGGAGAAATCTCCTCTCCTAACTCCCCGTTCCTGTCCACTCTCACTTGAAACAGAACGCAGTGATCTTGTCTGTAAGCAGCCTCTCATCTCACGCTCCTGCAGGGCTCCGTGGTCGGTTCCTCGGATGCCTGCCCGGCATTAGCCATTCCACATGGCTTGGCCCTAACTTCATGTTTCTCCTACACCTCCCCACACTTCGGTCCTGAAGACAGAGCCCACATTATCACCTGGACTTGTTATTTTCCACCTATCTTTTCTCTTTTCGTTGTATTAGGATGATTTTTTTTTTTTCCACTTAATGACGACACTGAAACCACAGAAGCTGCTGCAATGATCCAGAGGAGAGAAAGTCTCTCATTGACTGAGAGGAGGATAAGGGAATAAAGACGCTCCAAGCCATTAGACCTGAGGTTTCCATTCTACTTCCTGACTGTCACCAAGGTGACCAGGAAAGCTGCTTATCCTTATACAATGCTTTCAGGCTACCAAGTTATGATTTTATTTCCACAATGAGGCTGCTATTGATGTGAATTTTAACCCCATATCATCTATTTGATAATATTGACCAATGGAACACAGAATGAAATGTATCCTGGCTGGGCGTGGTGGCTCACTCCTGTAGTCCCAGCACTTTGCGAGGCCAAGGTGGGTAGATCACCTGAGGTCAGGAGTTCAAGACCAGCCTGGCTAACATGGTGAAACCCTGTCTCACATAAATTTAAAAATAAAAAATAAAAAAAATATCCTGAGTCCCATGCCCTCCCCACGCTCCCTCCCAACCACCCACTTTTTTTTTTTTTTTGTCCTGGCCAGCACTATTTTCTCAGGTAATTCCTCATTTTGTTTTCCCACACAATTTTCCTGTGTTCCTGCTCAGAATCTCTTTTTTCCCCCCAATGCTTTCCATCTCTTACACCTATACTGGGCCATACAGTATCTCATATCTCACATGGGAATATTAAATACTTGAAATGTGCTCAGTCCAAACTGAGATACGCTTTAAGTGTAAAACACATACCGAGTTTCAAAGACTCAGTTGAAGCAAGAATGTAAAATATCTATTAAAACTTTTTATATGGCTTTCATGTTAAAATGTTAGTATTTTGGATATAATGAGTTAAATAAAAAATATATTTAAAATTAATGTCAACTGTTCTTTTACTTTTTTAGTGTGGCTTTAAAATTGTTTTTAATTAGATGTGCATGTGCAATTCAGACAGCCTAGGTACCCTCTCTGGCTGACTCTTCTCATTCTCCTTCCTTCCCAGCATACTTTCACCCATCCCCGTTTCCTGGCCTTACATAGTAGGAGAAGCTGATCTCTTGGTCAGGGCTTGCATCAGCCGGGTCGATGTAATAATCCACCAGCACTTCCTGGGGCTGGCCACATTTCAAGGGGCCGTTGAGCCGGTGGATGCCAAGGAAGCTGTGGGTTGTGTTGTAGAAGGGTCGCAGGTGCAGGTAGGCATTTTGGTAGTAACGTGGCACTTGTTCCGGATTATATACTAAGTCTTCCATTTGAAACTTTCCCTGAGAGTGAAAGAGAGAGAGAGAATTTTAGCATGCACCCCAACCATAGAAACCCCATGGACTTGTTACGGTTTTCAAACAGAGCACTTTCTCTTACATCTTCACTGCCCGAAAATGGCATGTGGGTATTTCCTTAGCGGTCCAGCCAAGGATGGATAAAGAATCCATAAACGTAGTAGTGTGCAGCAATATTTTGGTATGTAGGAGAGTGACAGAAGGGCTGAATTATAGTTACTAAGTGAGGGGAAATTGTGGGTGATGTATCTTCACAGATACTCCTGGGATAGATGAACATGACTTAGATTATATAGAAATCAAAGATTGTATTTCAGGGATAAGAAAACTAGGTACAGAAGATACTAAGATTGAAAAATAACTATTTTTGAGTAATTGAGTGATGCCTAGAGTAAAGAAATAGTCAAATTAGCCACAAGGCAACTAGTATATGTTTGCTTAAGTCCTGTGGTTGAACGATCTCATTAATGGCTCCAATTCCTCACACATACCCTGCACCCTTCAAGATCAACATCCGTTAGCCTGTAGTCTTCCAGTACCCTCCTAGTCTGACTGTGGGCCCACTGTGTGGTTTGTTGGGAATGGGATGTTAACATATGCAATGTATACAGGTTCGAAGAAGCCCTGAACATCAGCTTTTGCACTTGCACCTCATCACTGCCATAAGAATATACCCGGGCTAGCTGGCTCCTGCATGAGAGGTACGTGGAACACCAGCCTACGGCCAGCCGATCTGCAGACAGGTCTGGAAATCGAAATCAGCAGAGCTGCCTGGCTGAGTGCCCCAGATGCACAAGCAGTGAATACTTTGTGTTGCATGATACTGAAGTTTTTAGCTGTTTGATAAGAAGCATTGTTGCGGCAGTTCATAATTAACACTTACAAGTTATCTAGAATCTAGAGTTCTCTTGTTTGCTGTTTTTATTAAGTAATGAGGGGAAGGGAAGGGGAAAGAGAAAGAGAAAGACTGAGTCACCTTTTCCTCCCTACTCTAACTTCATATATAGATAGGATCAGATAGAGATGGGGGTAAGTTAAAAGACGTAATAATAGAAATAGTAGTTTTCATCTAAGTAAGGACTATTTATCTGATTGATATTAAAAACAGAAAGAATCTAAGGAAAACTTTTTGTCAACGGGGGAGCAGGACTTGTCAGTGAGAGAGATGTAATTCCAAGCAGAGAGGAGGATAGGAAACAGGAAAATTCTGAAGTTTTCCTTCAGGGAAGCCTTACTTTCTAGGAAGCTGGTCCTCCATCCATGCTTACCTCCAGAGAAACATCTGCCCCATTCCAAC